CTAGGGGGCTCTAAAAAGTAAATAGTGTCTATATTATTTTCTCAAGCTACAAGTCCCTATTTTGACTTCACTATAATTGATAAGTACTGTAGACTTGGAGTTAAAATTGGGATTTGAAGCTTGAGAAAATAATGTTACTTTTTTAGAGTCCCTAGTTGTAGGCTTGAAAATATAAACTTTGCATTTTGATTCAACTTATTTCTGTACTTTTTGACGATCCATGTTCTCCTTTTTTACATTAACAATGTTTACTAATCTTGTAGTGTTATTCAAAGACTGGTGTTTTGTATGTGCTATGTAGAAGTTATGTGTATATATATTATATTGAAACTTGTGTTACGCCTACTTCGTTACATGGATGATATTTAAAAGTGAATCCTTTTAGTGTTTCTCTAAATTTGGTATGTTGAGTAGATGACGGAACGAATTAATAATCTGTGTGAAACTTGTTTGACCTACAACGTGACATCGAACTGGTTTGACCTACTTTAGATTTAAAATAATAATGAAATGTATAGAAAACTAAACTAAAATGTCATTAGAAGCTAAAGAAGAAAAAGTGGTATGTTCAAATAACACAGATGTTTAAAGAAAAAACAACGTTTAATGATACATAATAAATACTTTAAAATGAGACTATCCCCAGTCTGAAAATACAATAAAATATTTTACTGTCTGAAGATAAAATACCGTGAGACTGTGAATGATATTATACACTCTATGTGTTCCAATGTCTCACTGCGTCATCATCATGAGTGTAATATTTTTCAAAAGTTAAGACGTTTATATACTTTCTCAAAACCACATGATCAAATAAGGACTAAAAACCAGAAGAAAATGTTGATAATAGATGGCGTGAAATTTTTAAAGTTAAATTTGTATGTAAAAGTAAGCGTTTTAAGTTTTTAAAACATATCACAGTGACATCTTTTCAAATTTTCAAAGCTACATATCCAACAAATATAAATATTGTTACATATCTGCTTGTTTTTTAATTTCCGGTAGAAATTCTTTCCGAGGAACTTCAGTGATACAAGTCCTTTCTTGATTAAACTAGTTTATTCTTTCTCGATACAAACATTTAGTACACAGTAATTCCACTGTCAATACGTTTCTCCTCACTTTCAACTTAACGACTTTTATAATACACGCTATAAATCACAGCGATTCACAATCTCGATAACTTACCATGACTACTGTTCGTTTCAACCATACATTCCCTCCCGCTAGCTTTTCTCGCCAGGCTTATATACGAACAAAGAGGCTTTGACAAAGATCGAGGAGTTCCTTGATAATTCGAGAAACTCATTCACGCATGTGCTACCAGCGCCAACGCGCCAGTAGCGTCACGTGACTTCCGCTGTCGTAACAATATATCTTATTTTCAGAAGCTCAAAAACATTTTTAACGCCGGTGTGAAGCCTCAGACTATTTCATTCAGTACTTTACCTTTTATGCAATAAAACTATACAACAATTGCGTCGAGCGTTTGTGAAGTAATGTTACCCGAATTCATACCTTTCCCCAGTTGTGGGGCAAATCCTCAATTTTTTTGATATAATTTGAAAATTTGAATTAGTTATTTAATACTTCCGATAACTTGTCGATGTTTTTATAGTGAATTAACTTTTATAAATGCCAAAATTGCAAAGCTGTGTAAGTTTACTTTAACAAAATCGTTGCAATGTACGTTTTAAGTTATTATTTCAGCTTTAGGGCCAATTTAAAAAAAAATAAATTTTATGCCTTTTTAACGCACATGGGCAGTGGTATGTGCTCGCACCTCCGAAAATTACGTCCATAAATGTATAAAACAAAGATTGATAGTGGGCCTCCTCACGCAAGTATATAGTACATCAGCATACTTAAAAAAATACTTTAATTCAGAGGTTAATAAAGACTGTAATTCAGAGGCATGAAATGTTGGCGTTTCAGTATGATATCTATCATGGTTTTATTCTGATTTTTCAGAACTGGGGATTCGGGGTTTTTAAAATAGAATCGGGGCACGACCCCCAAATAATTAAGAATAAAACTGTTATATCAGTATATGCAAATCCTAGTCTTAAACATGATCTGGTGTGTAATTAAATGAAATCAAATAGGCCAATTACAGTATTATTAAAATTATTTGGTTAGCTGGGCTTTTTTGAAGGTTTACCCCTATCACAATGATGTTCATGATAGCAACTTATGTTTTCATTATAACACATATTTGATGTTAACATTTAGAGGGTGTAACTATTTTTAGCTTATCTTAGCACACATATTATAGTAGTAATAATATAAAATGCATATTATATAAAGTTGTAAAACAGAAAAATCAAAATATCTACAGAAACTATGTAATTTCAGAATTTGCTTCCAAATTTCCACCTCTGCTGTGGTTACAAATTCGTTATAAGGATGCTGATTACCACAAACCTAACCATACCAGGATGAATGCTGTTTCGCCCCAATGCCAGCCCATCACTCCAGCTGCTGGTTTCACCTGTGATAAATTATGGGATACTGAAGGATTTCTCCTTTCATCAGATTAACATAAATACCTCCAATACTAAACTTCTACATAGGGGAGGGAGTCTTATCCAACCCCTCACAACTGACGATTTCAATTACTTTTGTTCACCATAGAACTTAATTTCACCATTGATATATCGCCTAAGCAATAGTAGCACCAACATTTTTTCTGTTTTCCTCAGGAACATGGATTTTTCGATCACTCTTGAAGACATCCACCAAGCCCTTTCAGACTCCACCCAGTCCAAAATCAAGGCTGTTCATAAGATCCATTTCAGAAAGACTGGCAAGTACCAACTTCCTGAAGGTAACCACATCTTCCGAGAAAACTGCAGACCATATTTTATCTCTTGGTTGTTTCTTTTATCTCCTACCTTTCAGAGCTGAATGACCCCACTGATAGTTACTACAACATCAGACCACTTCTCTCCCAACCCATCAGCCTACATTCAAACTCACCAGTCAACAACCACCTTGACACCATGACTAAGCATACACAGACTACTAAAGAAAGATGGCTGGCCATGAGAAACCAGCACACACAAACAACCTCCAGAAAGCCTTTTGTTCATGTCCACAATACCTAAATGGAACCCATGCAGGTCACCACACGAGGTTCGTCTTCATTGATAGTCAGTCCACCTTCACTCAACCAGCACACTCGGACAAAATAGCAAGAAGACACAAAAGCATCCTTGCCGACAGCCCCATTTAAGCACAACTCGAAGATTAAGAGACAGCCCAGAACAACTGCGATTGTAGAATCACCTATTCAACAAGACCTTTCCAGTCACTTCCCATCTACAGACATGAGATTTCGAACGAATTTAGTGGAGTCTTCTCACGAAAGCCGTCAGCATTCTTCAGGCGACCCATTCCTACTGACAACGACGAGTATGCTCAAGCTTTCCCCAGCCTGACCTCATCTTTTTACCCTTTCATTCTATTTTAAGTAAATTTAAATATATTTAAAAAATAATAATTTATTTAAAAATTTTAAGTAATATACATGTCGACTAATCCAGCTTTCTCTATTACAAATCCATTTCTCCATTACTTGTTTGTTTGGAATTGAGCATAAAGTTACACAAAAGGTTGTCTGTGCTCTTCCCACTACGTGTATCGAAACCCGGTTTCTAGTGTTGTAAATCTGCAGACATACCGCTGTGCCACTAGGGGACATTCTCCTCTACAGAGATATTCAAGCAGACAAATGGCGTAACAAATGCCCCTGCAACCCCCACAGAGCAGGAGAGCCCCCAATTACTTTTAACTTATCCAGGTACATCCCCACATTTCAGAGGCCCACAGAATTTTGAAAACACAATAAGGTTGGCAGGGAAGCCAGGGATACATCGTAATTCGCGCTCTGGAGTCTACACAAGCCTGTATTAACTTTGTTAGATGACTCCACCCGGAACCCGTAGTGACTGATAAGTTTAATAACCCTGTTGCCGCTTTTGGTGCAGAAAATACTAAATAGATTATTTGCTCAGAGCTGTTGCCAAGGCAACTAGCGAGCAGGTGAGTCTATTTTAAAATGGTAGGAAAAGGGTGTTGTCCCACGAGAAGTTTTGCATAGGTAACAACGAGGAACAGCTTCTGTTAAAGTGAAGTGTTCAGGGGGGGGCAGGGTTTTAGCAGGGAGGCCCCGCCATTTTTCGCTACTTCATTGGCCACGGTGCGTGTAATCTAATTGGACCCTTTGACCACGAAAGGTACTCCCGTTTCTCCTCACATCCAATTCTTGGGCATCGCCGCATTGGATTCGTTGATCCCAGCCCAGGCATAGAGTTTACAGACCCCACCTTCCTGAAGGACCATCTGTCTCACAGGGACCGTTTGTTTTGGAAATGAGAAGAAGAATGTGTAGTGATCCATTCGAATATCAACAATTATGTACCACAGCATTCAAAGCTTTCCCGGACTTCTTTAGGCGGCTTCACTACACGTTTGTTAATACCACACACCCAAGTACGGAAAAAAAACCTTACATAATCATTTATCAATACTTCAAGCCAGATTTGTTTGTTTGTTTGTTTTGTTTTGTCATGCAGCGTATAGTACTCTTCAACCACGAGCGGGATGAAGAGAGATCCTATGGCAATAATTACCTACATAGGATTATAGTGGATTACCACACATATATAGCTGGTGTTAATAATACTGGCAAGTGCTGTAATTTTTAAATAATTGAAAGGGCCCGTATTCATAGGGTTTTATAAGGCCGATCCTTCAATAAGAATGAGGTTACTTAGTTACTGACATATACGTTTTTACTTATTTATATAACTAGGGTTTGATTTAATTTTATCTTTTAAGTAGTTCTTAGTTAATGAGGACCATATTCTAAAAGTAAGAGTGAAAAATAATGTAATCTTAGTTCCTTATTTTTAATACGTTAGACTATACAATCTACTTACTTTTGCATTAAAATTTTAAAGTTTTAATAGTATTATTAATACTCGTATTAGTATTAAATTTATTATTACTATTACTGTTAGCCTTCTTCCTGCAGTTCTTCGTAAGGCTTTATTTTTTCTTACATCTTCGTGAAATTGTTAGTGAATTGGTAAGTAATATTTAAAGTATTTTATTAAAAATAGGTCACCTGCATAAAACTGCTGCCGTATTTATCCGAAAAACATTTAATAAAAGTTAATCATAATTTGTGCTTGTTTTAAAATATATTTTTTTTAAAGTTAGCGATTACAGGATTTAGCTTATAATATCATGTTGCCTTTGTGTCGACTTGTGTAATCTTAAAACTATTTTTTTGATTCATTAATAATGTTTGATGTTAACATATGGTAAAATGTCAAAGTATGTTTTTAGTAGTATGTAGTTATTTAATGAACATTATAACGATAGGTGGTAGTGATTGGTTTCAGATTAGTGATTGCAGTTAATGTAATTTTTAATTAGTACATTTGTATATGGATGCTTGGATATACAACAGTATATATATATATGCCTCTGGTAAACTTTCAGTTATAAAACCATGCATGTGTGGTTTATTATCCAATAATTTGTTTTGAAAGTTTGTGTTAAAAGAAATAAGAACTTTTGATATCTCAAGTACAACTACAGTCTTGTTACTGGTGTAAAGCATGTAACTACTTTTTTTTGTAAATGGTTTATATTTTTTTTATATAGCTTAATAAGAATTAAAAAAATATATATATTATCTTATTAACAGTGCTTCCAAAACTACCACAGACTAACAGGGTCCCAATGTTAATATTTCTTAAAGAAACCTTAAACATTTTTAAAAAAGTGATAACCCAGTTGGTGGCATGGTAGACTTCTTGAAAAATTTTCTACATGAGGATATTTTTCCCCTTACCCCTTATTATTTCCTGTTATCACCCATCTTCCTATTTAATATATTTTTCTGTTAGTACAGTTAATTTTTCTTTTATCTGTAACAGGTCTTAGTAACTATGTTATTTAAATAGGAAATTACTTTATTTTTTCTTTTTGCCTTAATATGTTGACTTTACTGTGTCACATGGGGTTATTTAGCCAGCATGGGTGTGGGAGGTTGTAAAAGAAGTTTTTTTTTGTACTGATTTAATAGTTGTCTAGTGTAAGTGTGTTGTTTACAACCAGTGAACATGCAGTACACTGAGTATCAGATCTGAGTCAGCTCCATGTGAAGTCAGCCATGTAGTTTTCATAGTCACAAGGAAAAGTGGGTGTTATTGCACAACCAGTGGTTTTCAAGGAGTACTAGTTTTTAAAATTGTTGATGTACTTGCCACATTTTAAGATCACTATAATCAGGTTAAACACAGAAACCTGTCAGCCAGTGAATACTTGTTGTTTCAATGAAATATATTTTAATCCAGTTTTGAAGGTAGAAACTTAATACTGTGTAATAAATTGCAGTTTAAGAAGTTTATTCTTTAAAACTCTTTGAAATTACCTTTATACTTTAAACTTTTAACATAAAATTACATGTATATATACTGTAATATCACTTCAGGATACTGAACAGTCTGAAAACTGATGGGAATTGATATACATTCTACCTGAAAACAGTTTGTTTCCAAACATCAAATGAAGTGCTAAAGATATACCTAAAAGATGTTCCTGTTATGGTGCTAAGAAGAAAATAAAAAACAGGACTACAATTTTTGAATATCAAAAATGTGGGCTGGATTTAAAAAAACAGGTGAGTCTTAGAAATAGTACTTGTTAATTTTTCTGGTAGATGTTTTTTTTTGCAAATATACAGATGTTTGATAATACAGTTAATTTGGAAGAGCTCTCTTGTATAGTAAGTGTTAGAATAAATAAGCATTATAGTAAATTTCTTGTTTCTCAGTTGGTAAGTTAATATTTTAGGAGTTGCTACATCATATAATAACTGATGCTAAATGAATAATGAGTAATTTGCAAAAATTCTGTGTATGCAGAGAATTGATTTATCAACATTAATGACTTTTTACAGTGCATGTTCATAAAATTTGAAATAATTAGATTTCCAACAAATGAAAGTACAGTTTGACTGTTTTCATCTGGTAACTTTGCTATTTAGGAAATGTAATAATCTTAAAAAGTAAATTAATTAGGGGTGGTTTTATATATATTACGTGAATAACTCGTATCAAATCTACTAGCTATATATATTTAAATACATGTATTTTTATTTAACTTCAGGAGGTAAATAGTCAGAGCTAAAAATGCAATTGAATAAGAGGGCTTTATGTTTACTGTGTTAAAAAAATTGGCTACCTCTTGCTTTTACCTGGACTTTTTTTAAAATATGTCAGCTAAATAACATTTTGAGGTCAAAATTGTTCATTGTTATTCATATATGAAAACTTAGTGGAAACTACTTTGATCTAATGCTGTTTGTATTTATAGATAACTATAAATGTGCTTGACATTTAATGTTATGTACGTGTATGGCTATGTGTAACGAGTAATAAACTGGGTTAGGTAAAATATTATAAAGACTGTACTACTTTAACTGTAATTTTCAAGTTTCAACTATGAACAATGAATCAAAGAATATTAACTACTCTAATCTGTGTAAGTGTAAACATGTTTTTATTAGACTGTGTTTTTTGTTATGAGATCTTACCTCAGTACTTTATTCTTTTTTACACAATTTTTACTTAGACAGAGGCACATTTTTCATATGCTGATACATGTTGTGTTAATGATTATGTGTATCATTTATATATGTTTACTTTTGTAAGTACATTAGTTCAATTCTTATAAGCTTTCCAAAAACAAATCATTCAATATTAGTCAACCAAGTACATTTCTTTTTGTTTTGTATTTCATTTTGGTAAATTAATTATATGAAAAGGAATCAGAAAAATTGAATTTTACCATTTATGACACATCACAAAATGATTTACTGTTTAACAAAAAAAAGATTTATATAATAATAAATATACATAAAATACATATTCCTCTAAAAACAAGTAACATGCACTAAACAAATGTTTCTATAGACAATGTATTCAGCAGTCTTGTTTTTTCAAACACTGTCCTTCTCTTTTTCTCTAATAATATTAATGTTTCATTTCTTATATACATGTTTACTCTCAAACACTGTTCATCTGCTTTGTTGTATGTGTAAATGTTTACTTCCAAACATAATATTTCTAATTAGTTTTTTGTACAGTTGGTTACTTTAAACTTTCAGCCATCTGTTTTTCTTTTATAACTGTTTAATTTCAAATATTATTAATCTGTTTTGTTACTTATGTTATGATTTACATTGTTCACCTGGTTCATGTCCCAGGTAATTGTTTATTCTTAAACAGTATTTGTTTGTTTCGTTTAAGGAAGAAACAAATAATAGTTTTGGTCAAATATCGGATTTTAAATATCACGCTCCTGATAACTGGTTGGATTCATATATTTTTGGATTGGATAGTAGATGTGACTATACATACATATATACTAAAAATGCACTGTAGGCATGACCTACCACTTCATTATAGTGTAGTATTAAACCAATTAGTTTGTCATCATTTTTGAAAATTTAATAAGGCTGTAAATTTCTATATGAGTGAGCAGCCATTGCAGGCCGTTTATGAGAATGCGGCACATGGAAGTGTAAGAGAATTCTTTACACCCCGATTTCCCACAGAGACTGTTGTTTGGATTGTGCTTGCCCTTCCTGTCACTTCCATTACTATGACCACCTGTGGCATACAGAGGCAGAACATATGGTGGGTGTAATGTTTATTTAAACTACACAACAACTATTGATCTGAATTATGACTGTTACGATGACTACCACTATTTAATTCTGGAGATAATGCTACTGTGTTTAGAATCTAGTGGGAAACACCAGTGGACTAGATGATGCAATACATATTACATGTGAATTACATACTGTTGGTTTCATATCGTGTCTAAATGAAATTGTGACATAATCTATTGATGGAAATGCTATCTGATTAGATCATATTTCCTCAAATAGTGCAATATCCTATTGGATCGAATATTTTCCATCTCTATTTTCATCAGTAAGTTTTCTTTCCAATGGATCAAAATTAGTACAAGTTTCTTGTTTTTTCCAAGTCACATAAAACTGTAGTATAGGAGCACTATAAAAAATAATAGCAGCATTATAGGTGTCATAAATGTGTGTGGATTGCTTATGATGAAATCACTGTCAAACTATATGTAACAAATCTTCATATTATTTTCTGAGATTCTTTATGCATAAAAATTATTGTTTGTTTTGTGTTTTCTTTATTTATTTCCATAGTGATAACAGGAGGAGTAGGTATTGCTCTCCTGGTGCTTGGCCTGATTCTTCTGTATTGTTTCCCCTTAATTTTCAGCTATATCATACAAAAGGTAAGGATGTTTTTTTAATTGCTGTATACATGTATATAATTCCTATATTGATATGATTTGACTTTGATTTACTCTGCTTTATTTTTGTTCTTTTAGTTCATATTTAGATAAGCTGATTCTTATTATGATAGTCAGTAATAACTAACATTATGGAGTGACAAGTTTATTGAATAACAATAATTTTCAGTGCACATGTGACAACATTACACTGCCAAGAAAGAAAGCAAATTTTAGGTATGAATCAAAATTTTTAAGTACTGGGAAATTAGAAGACTGATATTATGGTGGTGAGAATAGGTGAAATTCTAAAAAAAAAGTAGAGGTACTCAACTGAGTGAAGTGAACCTGTTTTTGAAAAAGAAAAAAAATCTACGTGTAAACATAAAATATAAAAAAGCAACTCAAATAAGTTCCGGTACTAGTACTGCCTTAAAAAATAAGTGAGTACCAGCAGAATTTCACCCCTGGTGGTGAGCAATATGGTTTTATTTCTAGTCACCTGATCTTTATGTTAATACTATGTATTTACTTGTATGGTATTTTTGCTAATACTTTATAAAGTATTTCATAAATGCTTTTAGACTTTCAAAGTCTTGAAAATAAATACAACTGTGTAGTAATTGTTTCTGATGGATAATTAAAAAAACAAAATTGCATTGTAAATTGATATAGCCAAGTATCTAAAATTCAGTTTTCAGAACCTTTTTAAGAAAAGAATACTCAGAAAATTATGTTTATATATGTATGTACAGTGTGTATAAATCACCAAGGATCTATTTGTAAAATTGAAATTACATAGTTTATTTTAATATCAGGTCTTAATTATTCATATATTTGAAACAAAACTTTCAGAATTTGCCTCTTGCAAAAGGATCAATGTCATACAAACTGTGGAAAGATATTCCTCTCCCATTATACCAAAAAATATACTTTTTTAATGTGACCAATCCAGAGGAATTTCTTCAGCAAAAGAGCAAACCCAAACTTGTGGAGATTGGTCCTTACACTTACAGGTAATCTTCATTGTTGTCATGGGAGCATAAGTAAGGATGTAGCTTTACCATACTTCTAGTATTTGAGGACATAATGTGTATATTATATACAAATATTTTGGGTTTGATGACACTGAGTACCTCAACTCCAAATCATTCCCATATTTATGATTGTTAAATACAATGAGGTACAACAACTTACAGTTGATATTGTTGATTATTACTGACTATTTTTTCATTAACATTCCGTGCCTTCATTTATTATTTTTTGCCTGGGTCACTACTAGTAGAATTATTATTTTTTGTTGTTGATGTCATTTTTTTAATTTGTTTTTTGTAGATGTAGTAATTAGTGTCTCTTCAACTGTGCTGTCACCTTTGCATATTTTAATCTCAAGATGAAGAAACTTGATGCCTTATTTTCCACCTATGAGAGACCTATGTCATTTTGAATTTTGACAACTCAAAATTGTGGTACTTCAATTGATGTTAGAAAATGTATAAGGTTGCTTTCTTGTTAGTTTGTATTGACATTTTACCACTACTGTAAATTAATTTTTCCACAAACTGTTAAGTTATTGTCTTGCAACTTAGTATTAGTATTGTAGTGTCACATGATACTTTTGAAAATATTTCATCAGTTAAAATTGATGCTTTAGTTATTGTACACTAGAAAGGTTTATATCATGAGTTAATACTGACATTGTTGAATTATCACTTATAAAAAGTGTTAATTAATATAGAACTATTGACTATATATAGTATTAAATATTAACATTTTTAATGCTAATAACTTTTTCATTACTTTCATTTTAATATATAAATTTCCTTAGAACCTAGAAACTTATGTTTTGAAACACAGCTAAGTAGAGCCTTCAGTGTTATTGAAAGAACTCATCACACCTTAAACTCAGTAGCCTATCACTTCAAAGCAAATTGAGCTCATCCAAAGCCTTACATTTATGTGTAAATAAAAAATTATAATATTTCACAAGATCGAATTAGATTCATGTGCAAATATAGTTCATGTATTCAGGGTTGATGAGAAGGGGGTGGGGGGGACATGGGAGCAGCTGGCCTGGGTTCTGTTGAGGGGCCCAGCAGTGGGATATTCCAAAGCTCACTATAAATGCTTAATACTTAATGAGCTAAAATAGCTACTGCTTTTTCATGGATTCAGGAAGAAATTTGTCACCTAAATTTCTTTTTATGAAAAATCAGCAAAAGTTATTAAATAGAATGAAAAGGGGAGCCCGATAATATTATTGAACCTGGAGTCTGGGCTGGCTCTGGATACCCCTGAGTGTAATGTTAAAATATACATTTAGTGCTATTAAAAAATGGTGTAAATATAAGAAAATCTTAATTATTACACTATTTAAATTCCATTATATCATAGCTTTAATTTCACAAATTAAAAGAAACATCTTAAGGAATCTGAATTTTTCTCTTCAACTTCTAAAAGAAACAAGAGAAGCACACTTTGAATACAATGCTGTATTCAAGAATGACATTTGTTATGCCCAATGAGCTTTAAAGTTACATACATGTACAACCTGTAACTAGTGTATCCTCAAGCAGAACATGTTTTTCAATGTAGCAAAACTGACTTACTCTATCAGAGAGCTCTTTACTGCTTGACCTTGATAGTGTGTACATGGTGTTCTTGGTAACTGATTAGCAGGAAAGTGAACAAGTTAGTTTTTGCAAGTCTGCACTACTGGGAGGTAGGACAAAGGAAAACCTTCAACTTGCAGACTACAGACAGTAAAGCCCCATACCAGTATTGTACCACATTCATTATTGGAAACCTTAACTAGTTTTTCAATAAATAGTGCCAAATGGGTCAAACATTTCATACCATATATTACAGTGATACTTCTAAGTACTTGATGGCTAAAGTTTGTGATTAAGATTAGTCATCATCATTTGTGAAAGTTTTTTGTTTTCATTTTTGTGTGAGTTATAACTTAATACCAAAATCACCCAAGATAGATGTTGATTATAGTTTGTCATATGTTAACCCATCAATCTCAGTTATAACTTTTTTAAAGATATACAAATATTATATTTTTAAGAAATATTCAGTATGTGTTTTAATTTTTGTTTTATAACATAACCAAAAACATTGACACTAGGTCTAAACTAAGAATTTCTACTCTTAATTATGAATTGAAATAAAGATGACTAAAGATTTTACTGAATAAATAATTACCTTGTCTCTGATATCTGTGTATGGACTACAATGTAATATAATAATGAATATTTCTAGCTAAAGTACCTTATACTGTAAAAATCATCAACATGGATCAAACTGCTTTGGTGTTCCTACCATTTCTTATTGGGTTCCTTTTTAAAATGCTAGAGCTAATTTTAAAGCAAACTGTATTTGAAACAAAAGTGTTAATTTTGTTGTGACTGTGGTAGTTTTTAGTTGATTTAATATGTTCAATGATAGGCATTTAATTTCAAGTTCATTAGTTAGGTTTTGATAATTCCAACTGTAATTAATGTCTGTTTTTCTCAGTTTATTAACCTGGTAGGTTGTTATTTATCCTTGTTTTTTTTGTAATAAGTAATTTTGATACATATTGTGTACATCTAACCTTTTACAAATAATTTTGTCTTTACCATGTGATTACTTATTTCTGTTTTTATTAGTTTTATGTGCCATGAACACATAACTAGTTTTGTAGAACACCCATTGATATTATGTTAATGTTTTGTGCTAGAAAACATCATGTTTAGCCAAGAAATGAAATACATCTTGTGTCTTTATATAGAAGTTGGTGGACCAAGGAGAATATTACATGGAACAACAATGACACGGTTACCTACAGGGAAGTAAAAAAGTATGTTTTCAAACCTGAACTATCAGTAGGCAGTGAAAATGATGTAATAACAACTGTCAACTTTCCAATGTTGGTAAGTGCACACACACACACACACATTTCAATAGTCTGTTTGAGTCAACTACAAGTAATAAAAATGTAGGTTTTGAAATTACTGCTGCCAACTTTTAAATAACCAGATTCAGTCTGTCACTTTGTATATTTAATAGGAGTACTTTCAAGGACTCTGCACAAGTACATCTAGTATTAAATATTAATTTTGGTTTAATTAGTGAATGATAAATGAGGTGATTAAATTCGTGGTATGTTCATATACATGAAAATACCAGTACAGTACACAATGCTTTCACTATACTAATGGAGTTCCCCTTATTACGTAGTTACAATTTGCACACTGCTTTTGAGAAATAAATAAGAATTCTGACAAGTTTTCCTTCAAGCCAGACAATTTCCTTATTCAGGAACCAACGACTTTTTGTGTGTCTAAACTTCTTTCATTCTGAAATTACATCTTTCATCACATGCATCTTGAGCTTTTGAACATATGCATGAAGCAACCCAAGTAAAAGGAAGGAACCTAACAAATTCATTACACACATTTACCTTGACTCTTTGTGATCTTTGCTTATAAATCATCAAGTTTTATATAAATATAAATAAATATAAATCACCAGAGAAAATATATGGTTCTGTTTCAAGAGTAAGTAAAACCAAAATTAAGAATAACAAATATTTTTTATTTCTTGCTTTTGATGTTCATATGTCATGCTGTGTTGTAGCCTACAGAGTGCATAATTGTTCTCATGGTTCATGGCATGAACACATTTTACTGACAGAACAAGTTATCAGCATTATAATCATCAGTTGTCATTTCATTGATTTTTTTTTATGAAACTGACTATGCCTAATCTGTTTTGATAAGTGTAGTTTGTTATGAGGAAATTTGGAAGAGTTTATTGTTCCACACCTTGAGGGTTGAGCATTGAGAACATCATTTTCTAACAAGACAGGGCAGCTTTTTAACAAACACTTTCATTGAAGACAAAATCATAAACCATTCATTGGAAGAAGTAGCTGGCTAGGTACTTGTACATTGCACCAATGGGGATTTTGCTGTGGGATTTCTTTAAAGTTAATGTCTATTGGAATAGCTCACAAAATTAGCAAAATATGAAAATGAAAGTGATATTTGAAATGACATTGCAGGGATTATTGAACATTGTCAAGAACAGATGATGCTTATAGTAAGTTAATCTGAAGATAGGCTTGATGTGCTGATTGTTAATGAGGGAAAGCATCTTGAGCACCTGTTGATACATTTTTTATCATTACCAAACTTTGCCAAATAAAATACAATTCTGTAATGTCTTTGGTGAAATCTAGTCACCCTAAGAGTAGTTTTTAAGATGTAACCATTTTACTGAGGTTTTCTTGATAATCACTCTGTATAATCTTCAGTACAATGATAAGTTCTTATTCCTTAGTAAGTCTGTGAGGTGTATATCAGTAACCAAAAAAATCTAATTAAAAGCTTGGTACGTACCTGCATTTTACATTTGGAGTAGCTGGCAACTTAGCAGATATATGTTTAGTTGATAGACTTGATTGTATTTAGAATCTGCATTTTAAACACATTATTGTTGATTTTCAAGCTTTCTGTATTAAATCCCCCCCCCCCAATAATTTTAATATAATTCATCATTAGAATAGTAATTGTTTCTCTTTTATTCAGGCAGCAGCCTCGTGGTTACGTAACACCAGTCCCCTGGAAGAAATAGCTGCATCTATTCTTATGTTTCTAACGAGAGAAAAGATCTTCATACAACGGAAAGTTAAGCAACTAGCCTATGAAGGATATCCTGATCTGCTGACAGTAATTGCTCCATTGATCCATCCAGATGTACCCAAGACTCATGGATACTTTGGATGGTTTTATGGAGTAAGTATTTTTCATAGTGTTCGTGTATTTTTTGTATGCATGTACAAATTTAGCAACTTGGTCAATTATGATTCTGGGTTTGGTGCAAAGTGAGTGAAAAAAAGAAGTTACTTAAAAATTTGAGATTCATAAATGAAACATGCAGCCATTCTTTTACTTACATAAAATAAGGTATCCGTAAAAATAGTTTGTGATAATTCAATTAAAAGTTTCAGAAAATACACGTATAGTTATGGTACTTTTAGGTTTTTACCAATAATTATTTATTTACAGTATAAATGGCAAAAGCAGGTATAGATTTAGAAACCAATAGGCCTAAGATATGTGACTAACTGACAATTTATAGTATTGTGAAAGGGCTCTTGGGCAGTGACTTGTGGAAGACAAAAAATAAGTCATAAATGCTATTTTATCATGCCTCTGATTTGAAATCCAAAATGGAGAAATTAAAAAGAATGTGGAAAGAAAACATCTACAGTTTACATGATTTTATGTTTACATGATTTTATCACTAGTTTTAAGCTTAATATTATTGTTCTTAAACACTTCATTATTAAACGTAACAAGCTTTTACTAACCACGTTATTAATTCTGACTACATACAATTTAAAAAAATCAATGTTTATTATGTTCATAATAAGAAATAATTTTCTACATTTTGTGTGTTATGGAATTCCTAGCTATATCAACGTATTTATCTTCAAGAGTGTTATAGATAAAACTTGATTATGTTTATAATAAAAAAAAACATGCTCCTTTTTATATGTTACAGAATTTTTAGTTATAACAACTTATTCGTTTTCAATTATTATAAATAAAAATTGAGTATGTTTGCATTACTGAAAATATGCTTTTGTTTTATGTGTTAAGAAATGCTTAGGTACAACAACTTGTACATCTTCAACATTATTTTAGCCCAAAATTAGGTTATATAACATTATGAGAAAAGCTAAAGTGAATACAAGGAAGTTATATTTTGAAATAGTAGAACAAGTCTTTGTAGAAGAGGGAGAGATAACATCAGAAAAATAATACAGATGAAGGAGAGTTCACAGTTTTTACTGGCAAGGATAGTGTCAGCCATATGTATTTTATGCAATATTTACTCAACTTATAAAATAAACTATTTTTTATTTCAGAAAAATGATACAGATGATGGAGAGTTCACAGTTTTTACTGGCAAGGATAGTATCAGTAAATTCAACACAATAAAAAACTGGAATGGAACACAGTAAGTAAAATATAAATTTCTTAAGCATTCTAATTTTTATTGATTTAATATTTTGGACAACATAATGTTTCTATGTAATACCAGATATATTTCCTCCTAGTTATCTTTAAACATATTACTCTCAAGTAACTGTTTGGATGTTGTTGAGTACACTTCTCTTGTTTATTAGAAGTTCTTAAAGACTGCTGTTAAAATATTAAATATACCTGTTAAAAAATGCACCCATTCTATCATATTTAAGTCTTAATCAACTGAGATTTATTTTATATTTGTTTTTTTTTAAAACTTCTGAAAGCATCTTAAGTGTTATTAAATGTAAACTACTGTTATTCATTTAATTTTAGTTGGTAGTTGCTATTAACTCTTTGTGAGAGGTTCATTCCATTAAATTAACCCCAGAACTCTGAAGCTATACATACAATAACTCTGAAATTACTAAATTTATCTTCATGAAACTTGGCAAGCTTTTATTAAACGTTAAAAGTCTGTTGTACACAAAAAAATCATATGTTTTGGTAATGTATGTCTACAAAAGAATGTCTGTGAATTTCCTATGCCTATCATGGGTCAGTCTGAATAAGACTTCATTGAAAGGTAATATTTATGCAGTTTTCATAGTTTATTTACATAAGCTCTAGAATTTCCTAAATGAGTATCAACTGTTATTTTTGTATTGTAAAATTTTATATTTTATCTCTACTCTAACAATAACATCATACTTGATTTTCAGGTCTCTAGAGAAATCATTAATGTACAGTTGAAAAATATACAATATAATGATAATATCATTCTTTCTTCTGAACTGTTACTCTTTTCACATGTTTTCTTTTATGGTTTTATTGCAGTATTTTGTACTCACAAGAACAGTACTAATTGCATCCACAAATAACCATTAGCTGTTTCAGCAGACTATAATATAAACAGCACAGGATCACATGACATGCACATTGCTTAGCTCAAGATTAGGAACTTTAGACATTTTATTTTACTCAAGTTTTGTTAGGTTAAGCTGAGAAGTTTATAATTTTTACATGTTAGTTACATTTGTTATAAAATAAAAATATTTACTTAAAGTCATCTTCCTTAAGCCTTATTGGGTTTCCAAAAAGTAATTATTGTAGTTTTCAAATGTGTATTTAAAAGCTACAGATCACTAGAATAGAATGTCCCAAAACTATTGTAATTTATTCAACCTTCCAAGTAAGTTATAAACAAATTTTAAAAAATTTCGTTGTCCATTTGGGGAAACAGTATGGTTAATACAAGACAAGAAATTTGTATCAGCTGAATACTTTTCCTACTTAAACTGAACAATGTGTAGTTATCATGAAGAGAAGAATCTGCTCTTTCTGTTGTAAACAGGTCTCTCAGTCATGTAAAGTTCATTAGAAAATAATCTCAAAGGTCAGAGAGAGGGGAGGAGCTTTTCTAGTGGGTTTGACAAAGTTATTTATATCTTGCAAAGAGGCGCAAGTTTTAGATTCTTGTTTGTAATTATGTATAGTTTGTGTTTCTAATTGGTTGGAAACTGCAGCAGCCTGCTTTTGAAGTTAGAAAATCTGAAAGTGGAGGAATCTGAGCTCAGAAACATCACATGCCACAAAACAAAATTAAGATTGAGAATTTTAAAAATATTTCTTAATGAATTTAAGTAGTTAAAACTTAGATAATATAACAAATTGAATTACAAACTATGTTTTCGGGCCACATTTATTGACACAGATTAATAATAAAATTGTTTAATTAAACTCTGAAGTTAACATTTTAAAGATTGAGACATGAATGAAAGGCCCACTCCCATATGCATAGGGGTAATACAGTTTTGTCAATTTAGTATTACATGTAACTATGTAATGTACTTATTGTCATATTATACTTTTTTGACAGACTTGCATGTCCTTACTTTAACTTAGTAAGTTTTGATTGAATCAATAAATGAACTGGATAAAGCAACTGGATAGTTACAAAACAAAATTTACTTAACTTAATTATTTAGATTTAGATGATACAATACTTAGCACTACAAACATGACTTTTAAAGGTTATATCAGTATGTAGGTGTGTTAAAATTTGATTGTGTTTGTGTATATAATAAAAAGATATAACATGATAATCAAATTTTATTGAATCGTTCCTTTTACATAATTTGTTAGGAATATTTATAATAAAATTGAGGTTAAAGGATATTGATTTGAATAATTTTGAGATGTGATACTCAAATAAGGTTTCATAATACTTAAGTAGAATTTTTTGTAACTTTAGATCTCTCAAGTATTGGACAGGAGAGTGTAACAAAATTGCAGGAACAAGTGAGTATTAATGTAATGTTTTTTTAGATGTTATAGGTATCATGTAGAAATAGTATAGTTGTTGTACCTATTCCATAAAAACCTAACAAATTTTGCTGTGATTTCTTTTTTATATAATAATAATAATAATAAAATTGAATACTTTATTTTACAATTAACCAGTATGAAGAGAACTACAGAAGGAATTCAAACAGATTTCCTGGTAACCCTTATATAAAGAAAACATTCAAAATGGAGATGTTTTAGGGTTATTTCAAATTAACATAACTGTTTGAATGCACTGTAATGTATCTTTGGCAGGGGAAATGCTTTGACATATGTATGACCATATATATGAATGACAAGAATCATCATTATAAGAATGATGTTACTGAAAACAAAAACCATATGCAAATGAGCATTTCTTCATATTGCTTTTGCAAAGTTTATCATTCAACATATTTTTTTCAACATGGAAGTATATTATATACATATAGTACCAAAAGTTCTAATTTGAAGCTTTAAGGCTACTCAAATTATTTATATGTTTGTTGTCAGTATACCTGTTCCTTTTAAGA